CGTGTCAGTGTCAGGCTCTGAACTCAGCAGGGAGTCTGCTTAAGGATTCTCTCCCTCCTTCTCCCTTGCCCCCCAACTCGAGTGTACCCACATGCACACATGAGCGCTCTCTCTCTTTAAAACAAATAAAAAAGTCTTAAAAAAAAACTAGCTTTTCATTTATCTGTTTATTACCTTTTTCCTCCATTTGATACCATAAAGCTTCAAAGGAGCAAGAACCTTCTTGGGCACTGCTTATCCCCAGTACCTAGGCACACAGTGAATCCTCTATAAATATCCATTTAATGTAATAACGATAATAGAAGAAATTACTAAACTACATTCTTTCTCATGGTTACTTTCTTTTCATTAAGTTCCAACCAATGAGACAAAAAAAAAAAAAAAAAAATGCTGGCAATGATTATTTTGAAGCCTATCTGTGATTCCTCCTGATAAAGACAAAAAAGAAAAAAGAAAGAAAGAAAGAAAAGAAAAGACACAAACTTCCAGTGGGGCTTTTGAGGAGCAAATGCTTTGCCTTACAACATAACCACTCAAAAATTTCCCATATGCTTCTAAATTGTATCTTTAAAAGCTTTCTCTGGAACTGGACAATTTCAAAATCCATTGATCTTGCTCTGATGTATAAAACATACCACAGAATTCTTATAATTCTTCTAGAAACCTGTCTGCCAAATGACATATTGTTTCCTTTTGCTTACTATTCACCTTTGAACTTCCCTCTAAAGTGTTTACAGTTTTAAAATTCCAGCTTTTGCGCTAGTTCCAGTTTAAAATTGTTTAATCATCCACATGTTCACTATTTTTATCACCAAACATACTGGAAAGAGGAAGTAAATTGTTTCATCTACTAACTACTAAAGTTTAAAAAAAAAACAAAAACAAACCCAGTCTTAGGTCTTTGAATGCTGTGTTCTCATGTGACTCTCCTTATGAGACTCAAAATGTTAAAAAACATAAACATCACATGCAGTCCCTTTTCACAGGAAAGAAGAAACCTAACGTGTCATAATAGGAATATGCATGATTTAAGGTCATTAATTTTGTATCACAAGAGATAATCTAGAAATAAACCCAGGCTTAAAAACAGGAGGCAAATGAATTCTGCAAACATTTTGAAGCCTTGCCCATACCTTCATTATCTATAGTTAATTGTACGGGTGATGACATCCATAAACAATGAAAAACCGTATTTCTTACTACTTTCTCTAAAATCTTCCACGCGAATGATCCAGTTAACGTATCCTTTCAAACTTCAGAACCAATGCTACCTTTAGCTTCTTTGGTAAAATATTTTGGGCAAAATTTGTGTTCTCTTCTGAACAATTCTCCAGTACTACTTTTTTGTACTTCTAGAATGCTTTCAATACAAAAATGACCATTAAAATTTAAACTAAGCTCTGCCTCAAGTGTAAAAGTAAAAAAAGGAATACATTGAAAGGAGTTTGATCCAGTGTCCATTAATCATCGTAATGTACTTATTTGATGTAGTTAAGTGATGGAAGTGAATAAAGTTCCTTTAACCAAGGGAAGGAAAGTCAGTGGTGGTAAAGGGGAGGCTAGGACTCTCACCAGACCACCTACGCGAGAAAGCCAAAAACAGACACAACACGGCTTCATAATCTAACCCACTTGCACTGGCCTTTACATAGTTGAAAGAAGTTAAACCTGCCAGTCTTCTCCTTAGTCCTTCTAAAATAAGCAATCTTTAATAAGTATTGTGAAATATCAGGAGGTTATCTCTGAATATTAAAATTAACTTCATTTCTCCTGTTTGGGACTCCCAATGTTACCCAGGAAATTCAAAGCGTGTCACTGAGTTATGAAAAAGAGATTTGTTGGTATCAAACCCCTAAAGAACGTCATGAGCACTTCCTGAATGTGCAAAACAGAGGCTATTCCACATGGGGTGGTGGAAAGATCCATGGGTTCCAGAGGCACACAGGCCCCCGGTTAAAAATCGCAGCTTTGCTACTTAGTAGTTACGTGACTCAGCCAGTCACTTCATGTCACCCGAAGAAAGAAGATAACAACCACTATCCTGTGTTGGAATAAAGAGAATCCACTGTCAACTGCCCAGGACGAGGCCAGTCCCCGAGCCAGCCCACAGAGATAACTCGAGTTACAGTCCAGAAAGCCCTTGTTCTGAGACTTCTTATTCACTCCCTACCCTTGGTGCTGTACTAAATAGAATGAATATCTTTTTCTTGGATGAGTCATGGCTTTGCAGAGCTTCAGAGTCTTCATCCTGAATATCAATGCTCATTGCATCATACTGGGACCCAGAAAAACGGTAAAAATTAGAATAAATGAGAAGCTGTTTTCTTAAAGTCATGATGCAACTGGGTTTCTTATCATTTGTTTCTCTCTCTTACAAGTTAAGTGCTGAAAACAAGTCCAGGTTAGTTGGACATCCCCTAGGCTCAGAAGGATCAATCTTAACCTATCACGGACAAATAAGAGGAAAGAGTACAGTTGATTAAATACGATTTTTACAAAGCGATGTTTGTCATAACACCTGGAATACTCAGGTTTTCAGAAAGAAAAATCTGGCCAAGTAAATAGATTGAAAAATCTATTTCTCTGTGGATATACAAAGGAGACACTTTTTAAAAAGTTTATTCCTAAAAAGATTGTTTAGACGGTATCTGTATGGTGAGAGTATATTTTGGGGGCAAGGGCAAGCAATGGGATTACTAAATTAACTCTTCCAATTCTACCTGACCACAAATGCGCCTTGTCCACCAGCATTACCCACAGCACCACCTACTGTCAGACTGTGCCTACAGCAGGGCCCCAAGAGTTAGCCATGCCTTTGATGAGCTAAGCAAACTGTTGAGGAATGAAAGAGGTATCATTTCAAAGTTAAAAGGCAGTGGGGGGGGGGACCTCAAAATGAAAGCAAACCCCTGACAATCTTGCAAGATATCTAGGTAGCAAACACAATCATTTGGTTACAGACACATGGCAAGTAAGTAGTTTTCATTTTTCTTACGGTAGCTAATTAGGCTGCTCTAAAGATTTGAAAGCCCAAGTAAGAATTCTAGGATCTGGCTGATGGATATACCACACGCACGTTTATTATTTTTTTTAATACAATGCACATGTTTATGTATCATTACCTTTTGCCCCAATGAAAGTTACCCACTGTTGTGCCACCACAATGGAATTTCAAGTAGGAATCAGAAGTTTTATTGTCAACCCAGAGAACGAGGGGGTTCAGAATGGGGTCCAGAGCCCATGTTTCCCCTAATGTCTAGGCTTCTCCTTAGACACTTAGGCCCTTAAGGGTAATTAAGTCTCCTTATTATGAAATGTACCTGGATATGACGGCTCAGGACTGTGTGTTCTTGCCCTTACAGATCTGCTTTATATTGTGCATAAGAATACACAGAACAGACTGTCAGTCATAAGCAAAACAACAACCCAACCTCAATTCGGATCTAAAATTAAACCACAGACTTAAAATAGACCATGACTTAAAAGTGCTCCGATCTGAAAAACAAAACAACTGTTTTCCAAACAGAAAAACATACGGACTGATAAAAAAAAAAAATTAAAAATAAAACTAGGTGACACTTACCTAGCACTGTGTTCCAGGCGCTGCTCAAAGCACTTAACAGATTATCAGGTTCACAAAGCATGGGCACCTCCCTGTTCAATGAGTGACTTTACTGTTTTAAGATCTATAGTAGCACCATAAATACCATAGGATAAATCAATGGGATGTTAAGGACAAAGAAGTCTGGCTTATCATTTACCTCACCCTTATGTTAAAATAATCATGCTGAATGATCTGAATGACCAGGGGTTGTGATGTCACAAAATAAGTACAGGTTAGTACACGTGGAATGACTCCACGTGTAAACTGGGGAGAAGATGCTACATAAAGGTCTTCAACACCAGCAGGGGAATGAGGAAAATAAAAGTCCTATTATCTATACTGCAAAAATGCGTATTCTACTATCACATTCCCCTTCTCAAAAACAAACCAGTTTGTAGTTCTCACAATGCCAGCCATGCAATGTTGTCACAGATGTGTGCCAGATTTTGCACAGGATATGGCCGTGAGGAAAAACCCAGAGTTTGCCTGTATCTTAGGCAGCAAAGAAAGCCTGTTCATTGTTGTGGCTCAGTAAATCCAAATAACAACTTGAAAGGGTTAAAAAGCCGGGCACTAGGTGTTTTCTTTCCACTTTCCCCGAGTCACTGCAGCACACAGAAAAGTTCTCTCTGCCACCCTCCCCACCAGCCTGCGCGGAGGGCGAACTGTCACTGCCATTTCCACCACGCAGCTCCCGCTCCCAACAACAATCAGAGGGCACCAGGCTGGGCAGCAGGCACCGGCGGCTTCCCACAGCCTGCACGCGCTTTGCTGCCAAGTTACGAGCTCCGCTGGGTGACGGGTGCACGAGGGAGCCAAGGATAACTTCATTCTATTTCAAATCTGTGTGCTTTCAAAGAAAGTGAAGAGGACCGAGACCATGGGTGGAGGTGGTAGGGGTAACCAAACACAAACTTTCAGAGCCTCTGCATCTGCATCTCTTGCAAGAATTCCCAGCCGGCGATTAGGAGATAGTGATACCCACAGGGATTTAGCCCCCCAGGTTGGAGACCACGCGAGGAGAAGGGGTCGAGCGGAGTCCGGGTCCCTCGCCTACCCACTCCTCCAGCAGCAAGGGGCAGGCGCGCTTTCGGAGCCCGCCGCTCGCGCCCCGCAAGCCCGCCCGGTTCCGCAGCGCCCCTGCCCGGCCTCCCCGCCCATCCCAGACGCGCAGCCGAGCGCCTCCTCTCGCGGCCCACACAGCCGGTCTGGGGGGTCCGTCCCGGCCAGTGCGGCTCCCGGGCCGGCCTAGATGGACACCCAAGCCGGGCGCGGAGGCTCAGAGGCGGACCCGGTTCCGCTCCGGCCGCGCGCGGCTCGAGCATTGTCCGCAGTCGGAGCCCGCGCGGCCACCCGCCCGACCCCCGCCCCGGCCCGGCCCCTGGCCCAGCCTTACCTCAGCCGCGCTCCCCGGCCCCGGGCAGTGCGGCCCCAGCCGGGCGCCAAGCTCCTGGGGACTGCAGGGAGGAAGGTCGGGCCCGCCAGGAAGGGGGTCCGGGCCGCCGGCGCCGCCGGAGGGCCGAGCGCGGGCCGCAGGGGCAGCCGAGTCCTCGCGCCGCCTCCGCGGGGCCACGGATAAAGAGCTGACCCGGTTAGCCAAGGGGGCTCGGGACGCAAGGCCGTGGAGGGCCCGGCTGGCGGCGGCCGCGATGGTTCTGTCTGCACCGAGTGGGAGGGCTCAGGCGGGCTTCGCGGAGCGCGAGGGAGGGAACTTGGAGCGAGTTGCTGTGGCCCAGAGCGCGTGTCCCTGTGGAGTGTGCACGCCCCTATAGAGCGCCCCGCCCCGCCTCCGTCCCGCCCCCTCCCCACCCCCTCCCTCTCCCCGCCCCCGCTCGCACCCCCACTTCCAGCGCAGCCACCTCCCTCAGCTCTATCCCCTCCCCCATTCCCACCCCGGTCCCACCTCTAAGCCCCTCCCATAGGCCCACCCCCCACTCCCACCTCCAAACCACTCCCACATGCCCGCCCCCACTCCCACCTTCAAACCCCTTCCACACACGCACCGCCGCTCCCGCCCCGGTGGGAAGAATCCACACGATCTCAACTGCTGGGCAGCCACAGATCAGACCACAGCGCACTGGGGACCTAGAGTCTGGTTTGTGAATGTGATGATAGCCCCACCTGGTAGTCAACCCATCCAGATGATCTCCGTGCCTGACATTTTCTATGGACTCGCTTCCACATACTCAGTGGAGCCTGCTTAGCATTTGTAGACTTAATTTCTGAAGGCCTTTTTAAGACTCCAAAAAATGGGGCGCCTGGGTGGCTCAGTTGGTTAAGCGACTGCCTTCGGCTCAGGTCATGATCCTGGAGTCCCAGGATCGAGTCCCAGGATCGAGTCCCAGGATCGAGTCCCACATTGGGCTCCCTGCTCGGCAGGTTGTCTGCTTCTCCCTCTGACCCTCCTCCCTCTCATGCTCTCTGTCTCTCATTCTCTCTCTCCCAAATAAATAAATAAAATCTTTAAAAAAAAAAAAAAAGACTCCAAAAAATGTTTGGAGAAAACAGTAAAGAATATAGAAAAAATCTCAAGCACGATGTACAGCCCCTAGAGTATGGGCCTGCTGATGTTTCCCAATTAACTAAATGTTTCGGGGTACATCATGATTCATGTCATGTGTAGTTTGGTAATGTTATTCTTTAGATTCACTTAATTACTTGGTTTTTCGAGGGTTTTGTTATTTTAGGAATACTAAGCACATTCTACTTTAGTTTTTACTATTGGGAACTCTAGTGGATGAAATCCATATTTATCAAAAGGATTGAATGAGATATAAACTCACAACATAATTATTTCTCTAAAATATTTAACAGAGATTTCTTTATACCTTTCGTACATTTGAAATAAAATTGCATTCAGCCCATTTCCTCAGAAAGATCATCTATATTTGAATTGTGTGACTTGTTTCATTCCATTTCTGAGATTATCAAATAAATAAAACTCAGACTTCCACAATAAATTTTTGGCTATTTACAAGAGAACCATTTTAAGAAAGTGACATGATACTGGGTTTTGAATGGAAATTTCCTTCAGCATACTAACACATTCCATGTGATGATCATACATTTTGTTGTGGTCTCCATTAAATCCAAAAGTCGTATAACGGTAGAATGAAGTTATTTTTCATCATTAGCATAGCAAATCGGAAGTAACTTTTCTCACCCCAAAGTAAGCTCTTAAAAAAATTAACTTCTTTGTCCCAACCTCTTCCATTTAGGAATTGCTTCCTCACACCATGTGACAGACCTTCCCTGTCATCGCAGGGGCCTGTGACTTCTGCCAATGAAGAGTGCATCTCATCCCCTAGGCACAAGGGAGGAGGGGAGATACACATGATCTAATCTGGGAGAATGGGGGTCCTTTTTCCGAGCTGAGACCATGCCATGTAAGTCTGAAGCAGCTGGACGTCGCCTGTTAGAGAGTAAGGCCATACCAGAAGAAAGCCAACTGAGCAATAGACAGGAAGAGTCCTGATGGCATCAATGAGCCCCTCCAGGCAGCCACCTCTGAAACCAGTCAAAACCCCTGGATTTCTAAGGAAATGCACCAATAGATTGTCTTTCTAGTTTTCTTTCTTTCTAGGTTTCTTTCTAAAATACTCATGAAGCCATAGAAGATCCCCATGGGATCCAGGCTCTGAGAAAATCAGGGATGTAATCAATGAGTCCTAGTTTCTCTATCACCTAAATTACTTCATAATAAAATAAGGAAGCCTTAACTTTTAATACGACTAAGGATCTCATTTAGGGTATTACTATTGCCCAGTGTAGGTTTAATATTTTCATGTTGCCCCCCTTAAAACCAAAAATTAATAAAAGATGTGGTTAGAAAACACAGAGAGAGAAAACAATAATATGTCTAAACCATATCACCCCAGTAAATTTTTTGTCTTGCCAGTTACTCCAATAAAACATGCCTTCATAATCCCCAGTACTTTCCTTTTTTCTGGACTGAAAATTTTAGGGCCTGCTACAGACTTTCAGGGACGGTTGAAATTGGTTTGTTGTTCTGGAATTTTATTGTGTTGGATATTGTTCAGGAGAAGTGGGCCCTTGGCCTATGCTTGGAATTCTTTTGTTCCACAGAAATTGTCTCCAAAGTATGTAACAATATTTGGCTAGTACCCTAACAAGCATCCATACACTAATCGGTATGTTGCTTCACCATTACTCACAGGTCACTTTTGGGTGGCAAGGGAGTGGGTCAGACAGGCATGAAGACATTGCTCTGAGCCTCTGATTCCAAGAGTGATTTCTAAGAGGGGGCGCCTGGGTGGCTCAGTCAGTTAAGGGGCCAACTCTTGATTTCAGCTCAGGTCTTGATCTCAGAGGCCTGGGATCTGGCTCCACGCTCATCAGGGAGTCCACTCTAGGATTCTCTCTCCCTCTTCCTCTGGCCCTCCCCCTCTCGCACTCAAGCTCTCTCTCTCTCTCTAAAATAAATAAATCTTTAAAAAAAATAAAGGTAAAAGAGTTTTCACTAGTTTTTCTTCAGATGGGTATGTACCTGGTCATGTCAACAACTGGTGATATTTCATGCACGAAAGCCCATGAGCTATTCGAATATATCGTAAACAGAGTTGAGCCCCACAAAACATACAAGTAGGTAAGCCATCTCCAGAAACATGACAGAGTAGCTTCAGAGAAAAAGTAAAGAGAAATTAGTTCTGGAATCCAGGTCCAGCTCTGACACTTGTTCAAGTGAAAATTTCAGCCCAATATTCAGAGGTCCTCCACGTCCTTGTGCTGGCTGTGTGTAATGTCTGTGCCATGTCCTTGCCCTAGAGTGGTACAGAAATCTCTCATTTAACCTGGGCTCCCGTCTGTCCAGAGCCCACCCCAGAAAAATGGTGTACACCAACAATTTTCCAACCATGAAACAGAATCACCTGGAGTGCTTCTAACAGCTCCAAGTCTCCAGGTTAGCGGGAGGAGGGATAGGCATGTATATTTTTTTAGAAGTTCTCCCAAGCGATTGTAATGTTCAGCCAAGTTTAAGGTAAATGTCTCTGAATGTGTGCTCTTCATTCCACAAAAGAAAACTTGAGAGACCATGTGATCAGACTCCATTTACTTAGAATTGTATGTAAAATTAAAGTTATTGATTGAACAAGCTCCATTTGTCTTTTTCCCTGAAAAGCCTATAGTTCTTCCGCAGTTATAGAAAAAGCAGTGAAGAACGCTCCTTGGGAGGAGCAGGGTGGGTTTGCCAGAAGCAATCACACTGAGAAAGAACAGCTCCCAGCAAGACAGAGATAAGAGAATGTTAACTAGAAAAGCCTTGTCAGTTACTTACAGGAAGAGGGACTCCACCAGAGGCAATCGCCCCCAGGGTTATCTCTTCTTGCATATTTCACAGTTTATTACATGTCCGTGCTGATGATCAGAGAAATTGAAACAATTGAATTATGTTCACGAATACTGACCTGCATCATTTCATACTACTAAGGCTACCCTTGATTGAATATTTGGTCTGTGCTACGCAATCAACATGCCTCATTTTTAATTGTAGCGATAGCTCTAAGCATAAATATTATAAGCCCCATTTTATGAACAAGAAGCTCAGGCCCAGGGAAGGTCAGTGATATAGCCAAGGTCACAGAGTTAAGAACTGAAGGATTTCAAGGCTGGTCCATGTGACCTCAAAGCCTATATATTTTTTACTCTAAACCAAACTTGCCTCTGAATCATACAAATCGTCTAGTTAATAAGAGAGTGCCTGGCCACATGCAGCTATTTAAATTTATGTGAATTAAAATTGAATTGGATGAAGACTTCAGTGTCTCAGTCACACTAGGCACTTTTCAAGTGTCCAATAGCCACGTGGCGCTGATGGCTACCCCATTGGACAGCACAGACAAAAAACATTTCCATCATCATTGCAGAAAGTTCTGTTCGCACTGATGCTTCACCTATTTGTATTACCAACGAAGAAAGCCAGTGTTCTCTGTGATTGAATTTTTCAAGTAAATTGCTCTCCCTGTTTTGATGGAGTTCTTTCTAAAACATGTAATACATTTATGTTCCTGTGTCTTAGTCCATTTGAACTGCTATAACAAAAATACTGTAGACCCTGGGGCTTATAAATAATAGAAGTTCATCCCTCATAGTTCTGCAGATTGGGAAGTCAGAGATCAAGATGCCAAGGGATTCAGTGTTTGGTGAGAACCCACTTCTGGATCATAGATGGCCACATGGTAGAAAGGGAAGGGAGCAGGACTCTCTGGGGTCTCTTTTATGAGGGCACTACTCCCATGACCTAATCACCTCCAAAGGCCATGCCTACTGCTCGCACCTGGGGAGGTTAGGATTTCAACCTTTGACTTTGGTGTATGCAAACATGAATTGCATTCTGCCTTAATCAGTAGAGCACCCTGAACAAAATGCCTCTTTAATGCCTCAGTGGACCCAAATGGCATGCTGTGGAGCTCATGTTTCTCTTTCCTCCTCTGGCATCTCTCTTCCTCATCTTCACTTCTTGTTTCTCTCAGACTTATCTGCCACATTACAGTGCTCATTAATGTTCTGCCCCAATCTGTTTCTATTTTTATCTATACATTCTTCCTATGCGTTGTCTTCCAATTCCATGTCCCCGACTACCGCTGATTTGCCAGGGACTCCAGAATTTTGATCTTTAATTTCCACCTCATTTTCTAATCTTCAGAGGTTTTTTTTTTTTTCTTTTTTCTTTTTTTCCTTGTCCTAACTCGTTACTGGACTAGTGCTGCTCAGCGTGCT